ATTCAGTTTATTTATAAAGCACCAAATCACAACCAAGTTGTCTCAGGGACTTTACAGGAACATTCACATAATTAGTAAAGTTCTCTATCTAAGGAATCCAGCAGACAAGATGAATCTTGTCTTCGTTGCAGTCTCCCATCCTGAGCAAGCACAGTGGAGACAGTGGAAAGAAAAACTCCCTTTAACAGGAAGAAACCTCCAGCAGAACCAGCTCAGGACAAGAGACCATCTGCTTTGGCTGGCTTGGTTTGATATATAGGTATATGGGTTTCTTTTTCAGAAATAGATTTTGCTTATCTCTAAATGCCAGAAAATGTCTTGTAACCTCTCCCTTCCTACGACCATTGACTACGGTGACATTATTTACATGAATGCTCCTGCCAGCTTGTGCAGATGTTGGATGTCGTCTACCATGGCACGCTGATTTATAACTGGTTGTAACTAGTGTACCCATCACTGCACCCTGTTCCAGTTGGTCAGTTCATCATCTACACGTAGTCTCTCACACTGGTTCATTTTCATCTATAAATCCCTCCTTGGTCTGCTACCTTCTCATATCCTCTCCTACATGTCACGTCGTCAGTGCAGTTACAGCGTGCGCTCTCAGTCCATCATTACCTGCAGCGTTCCCTCACTGCAGACTGAACTTGTCAAAAAGTCCTTCTCCTACTCAGCTCCTGCACCTGGAACACCTGGCAACAGCAATTAAAGTTGTCCTCCTTGATTTCCTTTAGGGGTTTCAAACATATTGTCAATTGAAAAATCAAAGCAAATATGTTCTTGATTTTAGTATTTCACCCTGTTTTATGGCACCCTGATTCCTTTTTTGTACACTGCTCTTATTTTAACTGCATTTTTACTGTAGTTTATTGTTGTCATTGTCTGTCCTCTTGTAAATGAGTCCCCGAGGCTCATTGAGGCTAGCCTGTAAAAATAAAACAATAAAGGTTGAATGGAAAAAAAAATATATATATATACATATTGCATCAGGATTCCATCTCTGCTCTTTGCAGATGTCCTGTATGCATCATTGTACCATGATATTCAGCTCTAGCTGAAGAGGTTTGCAGCCGAGTGTGAAATGGCTGGGATGAGAATCAGCACCTCCAAGTATGAGGCTATGGTCCTCAACCGGAAAAGGTTGGATTGCTTTCTTTAGGTCGAGGGTGAGGTTCTGCCTCAAGTGGAGGAGTTCAAGTATCTTGGGGTTTGTTCACAAGTGAGGAAAGAATGGGGCGTGAGATTTGCATACGGAATGGTGCAGCGTCTGCAGTATTGCACTCTGTACCGGTCTGTTGTGGTGAAGATGGAGCTGAGCTGTAAGGAAAAACTCTCTGTTTACCGGTCAGTCTATGTTCCTCCCTTAACTTGTGGTAAGGATGCTCTTTGGGTGCCTCCCTAGGGAGATGCTTGGGGCATGTCCGACTGGGAGGAGACTCCGGGGAAGATTCAGGACGCACTGGAGAGACTCAAAAATATGGGTCAAATTTCATGGTAGTCACTGTGCTGTTGAGCATCATGGTGTGTAACACACTAAACAAAGAGCACAGAAAGCTAAGGAGAGGGTTGTCTCAGGATATTAGAAACATTTGTTGACAACCAATTTGAAGTAAAAGCTGATAGGGCTATTCCAAGCAGCTTGATGTTCTTGTGGCTTCGGCTGCAAACGTTGTTTAGAAGTATGGGCCCTGTAAGGTTTGTGCTGTTCATGATTAGTTTTAGGTGGATGCTTAGTTTTGCAGAGCACACTTTGGTAAATTAGAAAGGAGTGCATTAGTTTGGGTGAGACACCGGAGTTTTACTAATCATGGCAGGAGCAGCATCTATAACAATCGGTTCAAGTGACATCAAAGCCAACAACGCTTCTTAACCACGTACCTGATGAAGAAATGTCAGGGTTATCAGCGGACGCATCACTAGCTACATTAATGGAAATTACTAACTTTTTATGGACTTTGTTTTGGATGTGCTGATGTTTGTGGCAAGGTGTATGATGTCACTTCCTGTTTTCTCTGCTGGTAGCTTTTGATCCAACATTTTTACACAGTAGTACACAAGGATTTTTTAATCAGTTGTTTTCTACTATTGCGTTGCGCTTGAGGCACCTTTTAGTCTTTCAACACTTCTTGGTTTTATTCATGTGTTTGAGGTATGCTAGCATTAGCTTAGCATGGTTTCTGGCTCTCTCCTGGCGTCTTCTGTCCTCACTTGCTTTTTGTCATGTAACCTGTCCTGAATGAGGCCTTGCAAGTAAAGTTGGATCAAATCTTCACCTGCCGTCAGTATGGTTCTTTTGAGTAACAAAACAACAAATAAGTCCTGAGAATAGCACTAGCTTTACATTTGCTAGCTGGAGTTAAGCAAAGTGTGAGCTCATGCCAACATTTCCATGTTTCAGGCCCGATGACTCCTGGATTGAGACCCACGGTGCTTCTGCTGCTGCTGATTTGCTGTTGGCAGCTGAACACGGCCAAAGATGGAAAATCTGCAAAGAAAGGGAAGAAAGGAAAGCAAGTGATCTGTCCATCGTACGTAAGAATTTTCTTTCTCTAAATAAAACCACGCAGTCAGAAATGCTGAATGATGTCGGGGTATAAGAAATGCAGTGACTTCATAATATGTTCAATCTTAAAGGGACAGTCTGTGATTCTTCAAATGATGTTCTGCCTAAACATTTTCCAAAGTTTGTATATTATTAACCTTGACATCAGTCGTAAAGCTCATTGGAGGAGAAATAGGTGGGCAAAAGTCTTCATCCAGCCCAGGCGGTTTGGCTGTTTTGAATTCTTTTCAGGTTTATAAATACATTTCTCAAAAACATTTTGCGTGTATGAACGATCTCTACATCAGCTAATATCAAATTTCTAGACTATTAAATGACAAACCAAACACTGGACTTCTGTACTCAAATACGTTTTGCTTCCCATCGGTGAGGCTTTATCAAGTCAGAACACGTCTGGTTTTATTTTTTGCCTGGCTCATGACAGGGATGTTTTGGGCACATGCACGATCATGTGAATTATATTGGAACTGACTGGGAATGGTTTACTGCTGCAGTGTAGGTTTTTGATAGTTGAAATCTGAGACCTCCGCCTCTGTTTAAAGTCGTTTTCCTTCACCTCTCGGGATTTTTGGTCAAGGTCAAGGATGTTTAAATCTAACTAATGTTAAATGAACGTTGAACCGTGTGTGTGAGCTATGAGAGGGCTCTTTCTCTCTCAGAGGGGAGCTCGTTTGATCCTGCATGTACAGCTGGGAGGCCGAGGTCATCATGGACTGTCTGTGAGAGCTGAAAAGCGTGTATTATATAAATTATTCTCACACACTGCCGGAGCAGATCCTCGCTCCAACGGTGCATCTGTGTAGACCTGTGAGTGTGTCTGCTCCTGCAAGTAAAAAACTGGTTAAATGTCTTCGTGTGGCTTCTTTGGGTAATTAAGATGAATAGAGGATATTTTTATCCAACATCGCCCTCCTTTCAAATCATCGGTCTTCTCTGTCTAAAGTATGAACATTTGCTGTGTAGGTGCTCAGCTGAGTCCTGTCTTACCTCCTGTGGGCTTGTTGTTTCGTGTCTCCAGTAAACTGTCTGAACGTTCCTCACTGACTCTACGACACCACGCAGTTGGGTTTGGGACTTTTGACCTTAGGATGAACCGGCCTCAGTCTCAGGGTCCTGTTTGGTTTCAAATGGACCGGGATGTTGTGTTGGGAGAAGATACTTCTGCGTTTCTCTGATACTCCAGCCACATATGAGATGTCAGTGTTTTATCCTTTGCTCTTCTCTGTTCTGTTAGGTGGCATTCCTCTTAGATTTATTTGCTGACTTGACAAAAGGCCAGCTGGAATATCCACAAGTTTGGAGAGCTTTAGTAATGTGTTTCTGTTCCTTACCCTTCTGTCCATGGGGGGATGTTACATTTACCATTGAGACACAGGAGATTGGCCCAAAAGTATTTTAAACGTATTTACAAAAACTCAAAATACTGCAGTTCTGTGCCCATAAAAGAGGTCAACACAACTAAATGTAACTAAGGCACAAACATAGGAAACTAAATCACTAAGTGACCTCATGATGGAGGCAAGAGGGGACCATTCTGACACACAAATTAAATATTAACAACAAAGTATAACTCATCAAAGAAGTGCTAAATAGTAAAGTAAAAAATAAAAATAGTGTATATTTTTGAAATGTTTGTGGAAATCCTTCTACTTGTTTCACTGGATTTTGACCCAAGTGCCTTCTACATACGTGAACCTGTGTTGTTCCCTTGAAGAACCTCTGGGCTCTCTGGTCCTCCATGTAGAGACGTGGCCACAGTCTGTGACACCGGAGATCCCACGGCACAACCATGCTTCATTCTGGAAAAACTCTCATTAAAGTTGAAGTTGTGGAAGGACAGGGGTCCAGCAGGGTCCACATCTGGTTCAGGGTGAAACTGGTCCTGTTGTTAAGGTCATTATCTAGTTTCCTGATGGTTTTCACTGCCTCGGGTGATGGTATATAAGTGAAAAGTGAAGTTTCTCCTGGAACCATCTTCAAATGTTCCAGTTTGTTTGCAAAGTCCATGGAGTTGTGAATGTGATGTGGTGTTTCAAACCTACGGAGCTAAAATATCAGCAAGTCAAACCAGAACAAACAAATTTAAACATCGGAGGAGGTTCAGATTACAACTGTCAAAAACCCACAATGCAGCAGAAGGCCTTCTCCACACAGCAGACGCTTTTGAACTGATGAAGTCTCCTGGATAGAAGTGAAACACGTTCATCTACAGAACAGAGGTCCAGTTTTTTGGGTTTTTTATCTTTTTGGGGACTGCCTAGTAAAGCAGCCACCTATTATTATTATTATTATTATTATTATTATCCACCTGACAAGGGTTTCTTAACTTTACATCTTACTCTTCTTTCAACTTTAACGCGGCCTGAACTGAACCCCCCACAACGGTTATATCAAAACGACCGGCTCGGCACCTACATGTAGAGCTGTCCTTTCTGAGCTGGCCCCGCACCGGGCCGGGCCAAAGTAATGTGCTGGACGAGCGAAACGGGTCGGTGTTGGGCTTTTGATTGAGTCAGTGGACGCACACAGCTGACGATCCAATTGAATCAGCAGCCGTGCGCGGCCGTTTGACCACGCGCTGACCGGCCGGTTGAAAGAGGCAAAAAAAAAAGTCCAGATGGACGACTGTCAGCGACCCACCTGAAGTAACTGGACTCAGCCTCTGCGTCAGAGGACGTGCACGGCCGACAACCCAATTTGGATCATCAGCCGCACATGTCTGTCCTCCAACTGTTAATAACTATTACAATAACTATAACATTAAAATAGCTCAAATAACTATAAGAACTATAATATAACTATAATAGCCATAATAGCTATAATAACTATAATATAAGAACTATAATAATCTGCTGACTTGTTAATGAACAAGAAATTTTATATCTTCTTTTCTTTGAAATACATTTTTAAATCATGTCAAACTGATTTGTTTACAAAAGCAAAGAAGAACAAAAATATCTAAATCTATTGCAGTACTTTACAAAGTCAGGGAATTATTAAATGATAAAGCTCTGTACATGTTGTATACCACAATCATTGTTCCACATTTAATCTATTGCATTGATGTTTGGGGGAAAGCGTGTAAAACATTTACAAAACCTATTTTTATTTGACAGAAAAGAGCTGTAAGAATTATCACCAGAAAGCATTACAGTCACCCATCAAGCACATTATTTTATCAGCTGAACTTATTGAAGTTCCATGATTTAGTAGATTATAGTATTTTATCAGTTATGTATAGGGCTCAAAATAACACATTACCATTAAATATCCAATTAAATTTTGTTAAAAGAGAAAGTTGTTATAATCTTAAGGGGATAGAGATATTTGTCAAACCTAAATTTAGAATTATTTTGAAGGAACGGTCTACCTCAATCCAAGGAATTAGATTATGGAATAATCTGAAGAGTGATGTTAAAAATGCCACATCAATGTCTATGTTTAAGAAAATGATCAAAGTTGATTTGTTAACAAAATATGAAATAGCTTAATGTGCATTTATATGAATTGTTGCTTGAGAAGGAGTTATTTATTTTGTTTTTGTTATTTGAAGATTATTATTGTTTGAATTAATTTTTTGTTAAATTGGGCAGATATAAGATTTTTGATTCTTTCTGCTGCCTTTCATTTTATTTATGATTGTATTTCTTATTGTATATTGAATTGGTTTTTTTTTAATGAATAAATTTTATAATAATAAAATGTATTTTTAAAAAGAAGTAAAAGCTTAATTAAAAAAGTTTTTTTTTTTTTTTTCAGGTTCGGGCCTGTAATCACAATTAATTGGTCGGTTTTGGGTCGGCCTCAGAAAAAATGATATGGGTTCGGGCCGGGTCGGATTTTTTAGGCTCAAATGCAACTCCACCTTGATGTGTGCTCTTACTTTTATTGGCGTTTCGAGTTACCATGACGACGTAATTAGCAAACAAAGACACCATTTTTCTTAGTAATTTTTCATAGCCTGTGGTTACCAGTCAAATATCCAAGATGGCCACCTGAGCTAAAAAAAAGAAAAATACTGTAAATCAGCCATTTTTAGAGATATTAAGCTGAAATTTGCTGTGGTGGTAGCTGAGACCAATGCCCAATAAAAAATGAATCTATAAAAATTCAAGATGGCCACCAGCTCAATGTAAATGGCTTTAACGCAACTATTTTAACACAGAGCTAAAATTTGGCGAGGTTACAGCTGAGAACATTCTCTATCACAAACAAACAAGACACAGAGTCAAGCTTTCATTTAGACATGAGGACAGTTGTTGACCGGAGCGCACCTCCCAGGAAGTTCACTCCAAGCCCAAATCATGCAGTGCACGGAGAAATCACAACTCCCAACATTTGAAACACCAAGTCAGTGAATACTGTTTATTCTAACAAGCTTAAAGTACAAATGTTTGGTCGAGTTGCCTCGCCCAGTTTTTCACTAAAACAACCACATGAAATACATAGACCTTCAGATTCTAGATTCTTCTAATAAATGTGGTGTTTTGTTAGGAAAACCAGTCCACACAAAAATAAACAGAAAACATACAGGAAGAAAATATTTGTTGTCTTTTCATGAAACATGTATCCAGTAATTGATGGAAAAAACAGACTAATATGTTTCTTGTTTTTTTTTTTACATTGAGAAATGGTTCTTCTTTAAATGATTTTTCAACAGACAACTGTCACCAGAAGATCTGGCCCAAGTTCCAGCTAACTCTACCTCTAACATCTTAAATCGTCTGATGGTCAGTTATGATCCAAGGATCAGGCCTAACTTTCAAGGTAAGGCTTTAGTTGAGACTGAGCCCAAACTTTTACTCTGACTGATGACGCCAAATTTATGTTTTAAACTTCTCCATGTTATTGACATTAATTCTGTCCATCCATCCATCTATTCTCTTCCGCTTATCTGGGGTCGGTTCGTGGGGGTAGCAGCCTAAGTAGGGCGGCCCAGACTTCCCTCTCCCCAGCCACTTGGTGCAACACTTCTGGGGGAATTCCAAGGCGTTCCCAGGCCAGCTGAGAAACATAGTCCCTCTAGCGTGTCCTGGGTCTTCCTCTGGGTCTCCTCTCAGTGGGACGTGTCCGGAACACCTCACCAGGGAGGCGTCCTGGAGGCATCCTAACCAGATGCCTGAGTGACCTCAACTGGCTCCTCTTGATGTGGAGAAGCAGCGGCTCTACTCTGAGTCCCTCCCAGATGATCGAGCTTCTCACCCTGTCTCTAAGGGAGAGCCCAGACACCCTGTGGAGAAAACTCATTTTGGCCACTTGTGTCCGAGATCTTGTTCTTTCAGTTACAACCCAGAGCTCGTGACCATAGATGAGGGTAGTAACGGAGATCAACCGGTAAATTGAGAGCTTCACCTTTTGACTCAGCTCTCTCTTCACCACGACAGACCTGTACAGCGCCCGCTTCACTGCCAATGCTGCACCTATCCGCCTATCGATCTCACGCTACATTTTTTCCTCATTTGTAAACAAGACCCTGAGATACTTCAACTCCTCCACTTACGGCAGGACCTCCTCCCTGACCCGGAGAGGGCACTCTACCCTTTTCCGGCTCAAGACCATGGCCTCGGATTTGGAGGAACTGATCCTCATCCCGGCCGCGTCACACTCAACAGGACCACATCATCTGTAAAAAACAGAGAAGCGATCCTAAGGTCACCAAAACAGATCCCCTCAACACCTTGACTGCACCTAGAAATTCTGTCCTTAAAAGTTATGAACAGAATCAGTGACAAAGGGCAACCTTGGTGGAGTCCAACTCTCACTGGGAACAAGCCCGACTTACTGTCGGCAATGTGGACCAAGCTCTAACACCGGTCGTACAGGGACCTAACAGCCCATATCAAAGGGCCTGGTACCCCATACTCCCAGAGTACCCCCCACGGGGCTCCCCGAGGGACGCGGTCAAATGCCTTCACCAAGTCCACAAAGCACATGTAGACTGGTTGGGCAAACTCCCACACACCCTCCAGGACCATGCTGAGGGTGTAGAGCTGATCCAGTGTTCTATGACCAGGACGAAAACCACACTGCTCCTCCTGAATCTGAGGTTCGACTATCCGATGGACCCTCCTCTCCAGAACCCCTGAATAGACCTTACCACGGAGGCTTAAGAGCATGATCCCCCGGTAGTTGGAACACATTCTACGGTCCCCCTTTTTGAATAGGGGGACCACCAACCAGTCTGCCAATCATTGGGAACTGCCCCCGATGTCCATCCAATATTGCAGAGTTGTGTAAGCCAACACAACCCCACAATATCCAGAGCCTTAAGGAACTCTGGGCGAATCTCATCTACCCCTGGGGCCCTGCCACCGAGGAGCTTTTTAACCACCAAGGTGACCTGAGCACCAGAGATTGGAGAGCCCGACCCAAGGTCCCCAGGCTCTGCTTCCTCACTGGAAGACGTGCCAGTGGGATTGAGGAGGTCTTCAAAGTATTCTGCCCACTGACCCATCACATCCCGAGTTGAGGTCAGTAGCATACCACCCCCACTATAAATAGTGTTGGTGGCGTATGTATGGCCTCTCCGAATTCCTCCCACGCCCGAGTTTTTGCCTCAGCGACCCGAGCCACATGTCGCTTGGACTGCCGGTACCCATCAGCTGCTTCTGGGGTCCCACAGGCCAAAAAGGCCCAATAGGACTCTTTCCTCAGCCTGACGGCATCCCTCACCGCCAGTGTCCACCACCGGGTTCAAGGGTTACCACCGCGACAGGCACCGACAATCTTGCGGCCACAGCTCCGATAAGCCGCCTCAACAATAGAGGCACGGAGCATGACCCACTCAGACTCAATGTCCCCCGCCTCCCCCAGAACGTGTTCGAAGTTCTCCCGGAGGTGGGAGTTAAAGCTCTGTCTCACGGGAGATTCTGTCAGACATTCCCATCAGACCCTCACAATATGTTTGGGTCTGCCAGGTCTGACCGGCATCCCCCCCCCATCGGAGCCAACTCACCACCAGGTTGGTAGCTCCTCTCTTCACCCGAGTGTCCAAGACATGCCGCCACAGATCAGATCAGATGAGATGAGAACAAAGTCGATCATTGAACTGCGGCATAGGGTGTCCTGGTGCCAAGAGCACATATGGACACCCTTATGCTTGAACATGGTTTTCGTGATGGACAATCCATGACGAGCACAGAAGTCCAATAACAGAACACTACTCGGGTTCAGATTAGGGGGGCCATTCCTCCCAACCACACCCCTCCAAGTCTCACTGTCATTGCCCACATGAGTGTTGAAGTCTCCCAGTAGAACAAGGGAGTCCCCAGGAGGCGCGCTCTCCAGTACCCCCTCCAAGGACTCCAAAAAGAGTGGGTAATCTGATCTGCTGTTTGGCACATAAGCACAAACAACAGTCAGAACCCGTCCCCCCACACGTAGGCGGAGGGAGGCTACCCTCTCGTTCACCGCGGTGAACCCCAACGTACAGGCACAAAGATGGGGGCCAGCAAGTATGCCCACTCCTGCTTGGCGTCTCTCGCCAGGGACAACTCCAGAGTGGAAGAGTGTCCAACCCCTCTCAAGGAAACTGGTTCTAGAGCCAGAGCCCTGTGTAGAGGTGAGTCCGACTATTTCTAGCCGGAACCTCTCAGCCTCACACACCAGCTCAGGCTCCTTCCCCACCAGAGAGGTGACGTTCCACGTCCCAATAGCCAGCTTCTGTAGCCGAGGATCAGACCACCAGGGTCCCCGCCCTCGGCCACCACCCATCCTACATTGCACCCAAACCTTTTGGCCCCTCCCACAGATGGTGAGCCCATGGGAAGGGGGACCCGTGTTGCCTCTTTGGGCTGTGCCCGGCCAGGCTCCATGGGTAAAAGCCCGGCCACCAGGTACTCACCAACGTGCCCCATCTCCAGGCCCAGCTCCAGAGTGGATAATAATTCTGTGTATGTTAGCAAAATGTCTCAAACCACAGGATGGATTTTAATTCAGCTTTCTGATAATCATTACTCATTAGGGGCGGCTGTGGCTGAGTGGTTAGAACAGTGCAGGAGGTAAGAGTTCAATTCCATCAGCAGTCACATGCTGAAGTGTCCCTGGGCAAGACACTGAACCTCATTACCTCTGATATGTGTCTCCTCAGTGTCTGAATGTGATCAAGCACAGATTAATCTTTGTAAATATATAGTAGAGTGTTGTATGAATGTGCTAATGAGGCACAGATTGTTGTAAAGAGCTTTGAGTGTCTTGATAAAATAGAAAGGAGCTGTATAAGTGCAGTCCATTTACCATTTACATCTACAACAGAGTCACTTTTGAGTTCAATCCAATTTATGATGTTTGCCGCAATCAATTGACCATAGAAAACATATTAATAACTATAATTCAGTTTAACACATATTAAAATACAATTTGTGGAGGCTGGATTGTTCTCTTCAGGTCGAGGGTGAGGTTCTGCCTCTAGTGGAGGAGTTCAAGTATCTCTGGGTTTTGTTCACAGTGAGGGAAGAATGGAGCTTGAGATTGACTGATGGATTGGTGCAGCGTCTGCAGTATTGTGGACTCTGTGTCGTTCCGTTGTGGTGAAGAGGGAGCTGAGCTGTAAGACAAAGCTCTCTGTTTACTGGTCACTCTACGTTCCTGCCCTCACCTCTGGTCATGAACTCTGGGTAGAGACTGAAAGAAAGAGATTGTGGATCCAGAAGGTTGAAATGAGTTTCCTCTGCAGGGTAGCTGGACTGTCCCTTAGAGACAGGCTGAGAAGTTCAGTCATCAGGAGAGACTCGGAGGAGAACCACTCCACATCCAGAGGAGCCAGTTGAGGTGGTTCATCTGGTAAGGATGCTCCCTGGGCACCTCCCTATGGAGGTGCTTCAGGCATGTCCGACTGGGAGGAGACCCCGGGGAAGACCCAGGACACACTGGAGAGACTACGTCTCTGTTGGTCTGGGAACACCTTGTAGTCCTCCCAGAAGAGCTGGAAGAGGCTGTGGAGAGAGATGTCTGGACCTCCCTGCTCAAGATGCTGCCCCCGAGACCTGAGTCCAGAACAAGAGGAAGATGATGGATGGATGGATGGATGGATGGATGGATGGATGGATGGATGGATATATAAATAATAACAACAATAATATAAACTGAAGATGAAACAAACAACATCAGAAGTATTGTTTTAGTTTACCACAAGCCATGTAGGTAACATTCATTCAAGCTTTATTTCTACAGGTTAGTGTCATTGAGCCTCAGGGACTCATCTACAAGAGAGACCTGATTTTAACAAAGAATGATGACAACAGTAGACAATCATAAAAGAAAGAATATAAACTGAGAAGAATAAATGAAAGAAAATGGTATTAAAATGTAACAAAAACAGCTATATTATAAAGCAATGTAGAAAACTAAAAACAGGAACACGTCTGCGTTGGTTTTTCCAGGAACTTACCAGATGTTTGAAGCCACTTAGAGAGGTCAAAGGTCGAGAGCTTCAGATCTTTTTACAAGATATTCCAGGAAACAGGAGCGGAGTAGGAGAAGGTCTTTTTGTCTAGTTCAGTCCTCACTGAGGGAACACTGCAGGTAATGATGTCCTGAGAGCGCACGCTGTAGCTGCACTCACACAGAGACATGTAGGAGGAGATGTATGAAGGCAGCAGACCAAGAAGAGATTTAAAGATGGAAATGATTTTAAGTGATTTGAAATGTAAACATTTAAAGAGAGCAAATATGGAAGAAGGTGCTCTGCTCAAGTCTGACCAAAACTAAACTTTTTTTTTTTTACTTGAATTCAAAACACCTTGTGTTGCTAAAAACTAACACTACACTAACACTGCTTTTCAGCAGCGGTGGCAAAGAAGCTGCTGAGAACGAATGGTGTAAATGGATGGAGATAAAAACAAAGTAATCCTTGAATGAAACATGTTAGAGGCTGCAGAAGACTTGAGCAGAGGTTCTGTGCTTGTAATGAGACAAAGGCTGTGTGTCTGGTGTCACACGAGATCCCCGGATTGGGTATAAAACTAACAACTACAAAATGTATAGTGTTTTAAGTAAGCATTAAATCTGCACTTTTGCAACAAACTACATTAGAATAATGAGAATTGGTAAAAAAAAAAAAACATGATGCAAGAGCAACGTGCAAGATTTTACTACTGTTAAGAAGACATTCAGGAAGTCTGGTGAAATCTTGAACAGTGCCAATCAATGTGCTGATAATCAATATTTAGAGCATGGCACTGCTTTAGGAACTGAACGTTCATGTTGGGTTGACATGACATCAGTGGTGTAGTCTCTGCGATATGCGGGCATACGGAGTACACCCACTAGAAAAGCTCCAGAATTCCAGTATACCCACTACAGTGCCCAGTGACACATGACACGTCATCAGGCACGTCATTGATACGTGAAACTGCAGTTTAACATTTCCATAACATCTATCTGTATGCAGCGCTTGATTATTACATTTGCTTATTGTATAATTCTCTACTTACTACTTAATACTTGAACACATTTTGCTTTGATACTGTTTTATAAATTCTATAACATGTTTTTAATACAAAGCCAATTGTTGTACAAAGTTTGTTGTTCATTTATTCAAATATAAGCATCAGAGAAATTTGGAAATGTTCATTATGCTTAAAAATCAAAATAAAGTGACGATTAGATTGTACTTACAAGTGTACTTTGGTTTTTGAGCACGGTGTACCCATTACAAGAATGTAGACTGCACCACAGCATGACATGCACTTTGTATAACTGATTTTCTTTTGGACTCATCCTGATTCAGCATAGCCTCCTTAGCCAGGCAGCCATCTTGAATTCAATTCAGTTTATTAATACAGCGCCAATTCACAACAAAGTTGTCTCAGGGCACTGAACAGAAACATTCACGTACATAGAAAAAGACAGTTAGTAAAGTTCTCTATATAAGGAAGCAGCAGACACGTGGAATCTTCACTTTGTCGCAGGCGGTAGATAATATTATTAATATTAATAATAATTATTATTATAATAATGTGTTGTAATCATTGTATGTTCCCATACATTAGCAAAATTGGCTCTCTGTATTTGGCCCATCCGCCCCTGGGTGGTGCGGTGGGGGGCTGTTGGGGGTGCCCAGGGGGAGATTGGGGATGGGGTGTGCTGCTCAGAGGCACCACGAGATGTGCAATGACTGGGGATTGAACCTGGGGCTTTCGGGTGCTGGGTCAGCTGCCCTGCCTCTGCTCCATCTCGCCCCCACCCATATGTCAACTGGATAACTTTTTTAAATCTGAGACTTTGGTCCTACAGCCTAATGTGTGTATTTTTGTTTCAGGTATCCCAGTTGAGTCTAGAGTGAACATCTTTATCAACAGCTTTGGGTCCATCCAGGAAACAACCATGGTGACTTTTTGAATGTTTTATATTGTTCTTATCATGCACATCACAACACAAAGTCATATACATGCATGTGTGTATATACATATATATGTATATATATTTGTATATACACACAACACATATATATGTGTGTGTGTGTATATACAAATATATATA